GGAACTGTTTCGTAACATCGCAACATCTTGAGGGATCCGTCTTTATCTTGAGCAGGAAGTAGGTTAAGGCAGCTAGTATATATATGCTGTAGGCCATCTCTCGGAAGATCTTCACTCGCTTGATTCGGCAACCCATGCAGGCAAATTAAGAATCACGGCAAGGTTTAATCAAGGTCTAAGGTTTAATCAGGTTTGTTTGTTTTGAATTTCGCGCAAAGCTACATGAGGGCTATCTGCACTAGCCGTCCCTAATTTAGCAGTGTAAGACTAGAGGGAAGGCAGCTAGTCATCACCACCCACCGCCAACTATTGGGATACTCTTTTACCAACGAATAGTGGGATTGACCGTAACATTATAACGCCCCCACGGCTGAAAGGGCAAGCATGTTTGGTGTGACGGGGATTCGAACCCGCGACCCTCAGATTGCGAGTCGAGCACCTTAACCACCTGGCCATGCCGGGCCAAGTTTTAATCAATATCTGATCTATAACTACAATATAAGCCAAGCAAGTGGCGAAGAGAAATTCATCAGATTTCTGACCACCTCTGGGTTATTAAACCCAAATACCTACCAGGATTGGATTGGATCGGGAAATCATGCAGGTCCCCCAGTGTCACAGCAGGAAGTCTGCGGATCTATAACGCTAGAAACCGCGCTTCGATACCCATGGTTGGCAAAGCATAGATACCCCATAGTGTAACTTTGTGCTTACTACAAACAGACGATCATGCAGACATTGGCATGTTGAGTAAAACATTAAAAATATAGTTTGTACTGGTTTAAAATGCTGTCTTCACAAGGTGAGAAATGCTGATATATGAATTACGCGTCAGTTAAACAATCTGTATTCTCAGGACAGAGTTCACCAGTCGCCATCTTGGAGGGAAAGATCAAACACGTAGTCGCCAAAGAATACAAGTATAATTTTCCTTTAACCTTACCCTCATTTGTAAACAGGGAACTCCTTTCATAGGATATTATTAATATATTTGGAAAGTTGGAACAAGAATGTATGAAAATAATGGTTCAATATTAGAAAAGTAAACTGTAAACCCTTTCTTGCTCTTTTGTCCTCCAACAAATAAGAAGCTTTTTAATGTTAAGCAAACATATGCTGATGCCAAGAAACATGATCACCGTTTTAGTTTGATAAGAAGGCTCAATAATATTAATCGTAAAGCTTTTATTTATATAAACTTACAACAGAAAATTCTCTCAAGAGCCAAGTTAAATAAACTGATGTTTCTGTTAAGTGTTACATGCACGCCTTACATTGTAAAAGAAAAGATTGTTAAATAAACTGACAAAATTAAAGGAAAAGAATGTGTCGCCATTAACACTGTCTTGCTAAACGTAAGTGTGTATATATATATATATACATGTTTCTAAGGCTGAATTGTTTCTGCGTTTTTATAATTTAATTGTTTTCAGTAATATCGCATTTCTGTATGGTAAATATTGTTCTTTTTACAACGTATTATTGATCACATTAAAACACAATAGATAGTTCAGAATTAAAATGTAAAACATCATAAAACTACTACACAACTAGATACAGTTTAGTACTTTAATTTTTGAATAGTTCCTACCAGAGTCGGACTGGGTCCTTTTTGGGGCCGTGACATTTCATTATGAGTTGGGTCCCATACCATCCCACCAGCACTGACAGTTATGTATGACCCATGAATTTCTTACCAGGTTTATAAATTTCTTAGGAGAACCAAAGGAAAATAACACTAATTTTAAATATAATTTTTATTATCTGTTAGCTCATTCAGGACAATACATCTTTGAAGCACTTTTTCTTTTAAATTCATGATACGTAACTAGTTTATTACAGCAAATCAGTTGACAAAGTGCGGTTTGGAAAATATATTTCTTTAGAAAACATAGCTACATTATTTTATGACAATTAAAGGAAAGATTAGAATAAACCAGAATACAATATATTCCTTGTCAAAATATGTCCAAAATGGGTTAAAATAGGGGTAGAACAAGCATTCTTTCAAATATTTCTTCTTAAGGGGAAGAGAGGGAGCTCATATAGGTTGCCCGAGGAGAGCCCATGTGCCATGGCACAAAGGCACAATGGGTAGTCTGGCTCTGGTTCATACTAATCCTGATCGAATCTGAAACGACTGTGGGCTTTTTTTAACTAATGTACTTTGTGTTAAGTGTTCTTACTATCTATCGTAGTTTTTATTGATCAAAGCATATACCACGGAAAATCTTAACAATCCTGATAACCTGTACAAACTTGATTGTAAAAGTGTTTGTGCAGGTTGGTAGTTCATTGTTTGATCAGTCAGCCTCAAGTAACACTACGTAATATAAATAAGAATTAAGATCTGCGACAACAAACTCAAGCATATGGACATTGAAAGCCGAATAACAAGAGAGTGAGTATAGCCAATTTTTTTACTTGTTATTAACGCACAGAAAAATACAATTGTTAAATTTGCTATGAAGTTATTAAATTATCTTATATTCGAATGAAATAACGAACACGTTTTCTCAAGTGATTTTCGTTTTCATCTACTGTTCATACTTTCATTCACATAAACGCACTAATTATATATATATGTAAAGGGACGTTTATGCACTCGAACTAATGAAAACAATACTTGTTTTGAACATTAAGATCATACGTAAGTAGTTGTTTTCTTTTGATCAAAGTTTGATTCATTCAAACGTCTAAACAAATAAAATATGTACTAAACAGATAGAAATTATTTTCTTTTTGAATGTGTATTTCAGATACTGAATTAGTGTACAGTTCTAATGTTATTTATGAATGCTTTAAGTTACTTGATTTACTAACGATCTATTTTAATAGCAGACAAAGTCTTAAAGGGGTTATATTTATATTTTACTTTGATGTTTCCAACTTTCTATTTAAATTCATAGCTTATGACCCAATATAATTTCCTTTGTGAACTTAATCTCTCATTTCAGTTAGGAAATCCTGAATTGTTTTCTCTAAAACGATTTCTGAAATTCTAACAAAAATTTTATTTACAATAATTAAAGTACAGTTTTTTTACAGTGTTTAAAAATGAACGGACAAAGCGTAATTTAGCTTTGAGACATGTGACTTACACCTGCAAAATATCACTTGCATGAGAAGTAGTACAGTCAGTAAAAGTATAGATACTACCTCAAACATAGTATCAAAACATAGATATTAACTTCAAACATGGTATCAAAACATAGATATTAACTTCAAAAAGTTAATATCTATGTTTTAATACTGTTTTGGAAGTTAACATCTATGTTTTGATACTATTTTTGAAGTTAATATCTATGGTTTGATACTATGTTTGAAGTTAATATATATGTTTTAATACTGTTTTGGAAGTTAAAATCTATGTTTTGATACTATGCAAACATAGTGTCAAATCATAGATATTAACTTCAAACATAGTATCAAACCATAGATATTTACTTCAATAACATAGATACTCACTTCAAACATAGTATCAAACAATAGATATTCACTTCAAACGAATTAGAATAAAATGGACAGCCATATGAAGATATGATATAAAAGTTATATAAAATTAAAAACCCCTGTAAAAATGGGTATGTTAAACAAGAATGAATTTTGGAATACTTGTCCCTTTTTTTATTGCAGCTGGAACAAACAGCAACATTAATACAAAAGTGGACCAAATATTTCCTTATTGTTTCTTATTTAACTTATCCACTTTTGCATTACATCTTTTACAGGATTTGCTCTTTTATATAATTTTAAGGGATAACCACTTCTACGTCATAATACGTTATTTCAGAGCTAGTTAAGCCGTATTAAGTGGTTTATACGGATAAGCTGAATTTCCTGTGTTTTGTTGGCTATTGTTATCGGATCATTTTCGGTAAGTCAAAAGAGTTCAGTGTTCAGAAAGCTATCGACACAATCCTATAGCCTCTTGTAAATTAAAATTTCATGAAATCAAAAATGGCAGAAAACGTGAACACCTAAACCTGAAACTAAATCAGAACAAAAATTCTATAACTAAGTGATTTTTGACAATTTGTATGATAATCTTGATTATTGAGTATGTATACCTTAAATATATAATTTTTGTCTGAATAGGTAGATATAAAAAACACATTTTATCGAGATTTAAACAAGGTTATCATAAAAGTTTGTCAAAAAAGTCACATAATCATGAAATGTTATTCTATCAGTTCGTTTCAAGTATTCACATTTGTTGTACTTATTTCTTTTATCTTATGTTTTGTGAAAACTACAAAGATACGCATTTTTTTATTCTAACCATCCATATGAAGTACATTGCACCTTCCAAGCTGTGTTTTATAATAATAATCCATTACACCCTTATAAACATTCAGCGACTAGTGATATTATTTATAGATTAAAACATTAGAAAAATGAAAAGAAACATATATATATATACAAAATTTAAGAATGTAGAGTGTTAATGTGTGTGTTTTCATGAATAGTTTCTGAACACTACAAACTAAAACTTCCAATATACATAACAAAATTCAATTGTAGTTATAGATAATTAAGCTTTTAATTACTACAATACAATGTGAATGTATAAAGGACTTAGTTGATACGGCTTACAACATAATTCAGTTTCTAGTCCATCCAAACAACTAATATTTAGAATGAATTATCATTGATGAAAGGCCACAACGATCGAGAAGACATAGTACGTCTTTCCCCTTTACCACCAAGTTTAGAGCAGGGAAATTTTCCCAATTACAAACGATATAGAAAATCTTTACTTTTTCTAAAATTATTTATAAAATTCAACGCTTAACACTCATTACCTAAGTAATGCATTACCGTTCGTTCTCTGATTTTGTATAGATTTGATTAAAATTCACATTTGCAAAGGAGTAAAATCATGTTTAGGCGTTCGTCCGTGGGAAGGAGAGTCACATACACTGAGTATCACGCCACGAGGCTACGCTAGCATCACGCCACCATATCAAGCTCTACTTAAAAATTGCACAGGGAGAGAGATGATACAACAGTGTTCGTCTGCAGCCAGCGGTTATACTCTCCAACGTCTTTCATTGCGTTGTAATCAACGTTTTATTTTTCATATGGACAAAATCGATACAGAGGGTCAAATAGAAGCGCAAATTATACGTTAAAGTATTGATTATGTGTACAGTTTTATTTTCGTGCTAAACACCATCTTTAAAAAATTGTAACCAACGCAGTCGTTATATTCATGATAGAAATAAAAAGTACTGCGATTTAAATTTGTTACTGCTTCTAAGTAAATAATCGTTAGTAACGTGTATCTATGTAGATTAACTTAATCAATTATCTGACTGTGCTTTGTTTCATTGGTACTTTGTGCCTGGATAAACGTATGTCTTCCTTGCAGATAGGCCCTTTTGTTTGATCTCACCACTAGTTCCGAACCAGTGTAAACATAGAGACTCAGCACAGGTTTACATCATCTGATACTGAGTCACAGTGGAACGTTCCTGTCAGCACGAGCCATTTGGTGACGTCGTTCTTCAGAAAACGTACTTCGTATTAGGCTAGAAAGGCAGCACCACGTCCGAAATGTAAGTTAATTTGATTACTTTTGATAAACTATATTAAGGTAAAAGAGCTTAATATAATGCATTTCCGATATTCTCCATGAAAACCAACGTTAACATTTCAAGCATATATTGAAAAAAAATTAATGTTAACTAAAAACATCATTATTAACAACGTTGGACGCTAATGAGTGTTTTACTACTACAAGCTTTTGGTTCTGTCAATGTTAGTTTGTTTAATATTACAAAAACATGGCTTTTCGGTTTCAAATTAGTTTCATTATTGATTTAAAGGCAATCGCGATAGCATTTTACAATAAGTTATTTCATTTATTAAATCTAATTTTGGCTTTGGTTGCTTCTGTATTCACAGAAAGTGTAAACAAAAATTGAACAAAAGTGGAGAACATGATTTTTTTTAATCACGATAAAATTATAAAATCGACAATCATTATTTGAGGCACTTTTAAGGTGTGGTTTGCGATTTATATTAGAATGATTGTTAAAGAAGTTCGTTCTTTTTTTTCAATGATTTTAAAGAAACGTGAATAAAAACATGTTCATCTATTTAGATATAAATACGTCTAACTTCAGGATGCTAATTCTTTTCTATTTAAGAAATTAAACAAAAGAATTCCGGGGACGAAACAAATTAAGGTGGAAAAAAAAATAAAAAATAAGTGAATTAAAAATTACAGATTTTGGTTAAAACAATCATGGAAGTTACAAAGTAGAGTAAGACCAGTGATATAAAATTGTCTACCTGGTAAGTTACAAAGTAGAGTAAGACCAGTGATATAAAATTGCTTAGTTCGTAAGTTACAAAGTAGAGTAAGACCAGTGATATAAAATTGCTTAGTTCGTAAGTTACAAAGTAGAGTAAGACCAGTGATATAAAATTGCTTAGTTCGTAAGTTACAAAGTAGAGTAAGACCAGTGATATAAAATTGCTTAGTTCGTAAGTTACAAAGTAGAGTAAGACCAGTGATATAAAATTGCTTAGTTCGTAAGTTACAAAGTAGAGTAAGACCAGTGATATAAAATTGCTTAGCTCGTAAGTTACAAAGTAGAGTAAGACCAGTGGTATAAAATTGCTTAGCTCGTAAGTTACAAAGTAGAGTAAGACCAGTGGTATAAAATTGCTTTTGGCTAGTAAGTTACAAAGTAGAGTAAGACCAGTGGTATAAAATTGCTTTTGGCTAGTAAGTTACAAAGTAGAGTAAGACCAATGGTATAAAATTGCTTTTGGCTAGTAAGTTACAAAGTAGAGTAAGACCAATGGTATAAAATTGCTTAGCTCGTAAGTTACAAAGTTGAATAAGATCAGTGGTATAAAATTGCTTTTGGCTAGTAAGTTACAAAGTAGAGTAAGACCAGTGGTATAAAATTGCTTGGCTGGTAAGTTACAAAGTAGAGTAAAACCAGTGGTATAAAATTGCTTGGCTGTTATCTCATTATATTAGAATGTATCTAGCTCTCAATGTTTACTAAAATAGTTTGAAAGTTGTAAAACATATTAATCAACTTAGTTTACTATCCCTGACAACAATTTCTGATAATGACAACAAACTGATAAAGAAATTAACCAAAAGTCAGGAGAAGCTATTAGCGTTACTACAGGATATGAAAAGCTATAAAAAATAAGTTGTCCTTTTACTAACAGTAACAATAACTTTAGTCACGTGGGCGATAATGTAGTTTTCCTAATGAAAACCATTTAAGTATTGTTAAAACTATACTTATGCTAATCCACTATAGCTTAGAACTGACCCTGATTGTACAAACACTTTACTGTTGTTTAGAACCGAATTTAAATGTACTGACACTACTATTGTTTAAAAATTGATCTAAGTGCATGGACACTACAATTGTTTAGAACTTAATCTAAGTGCATGAACACTACTATTGTTTAGAGCTTAATCTAAGTGTACGAACACTATTGTTTAGAACTTAATCTAAGTGTAAGGACACTACTATTGTTTAGAACTTAATCTAAATGTATGGACACTACAATTGTTTAGAACTTAATCTAAGCGTACGGAAACTTTACTGTTGTTTAGAACGCAATCTGACTGAACAAACAAGTCTGGTTTCATATGTAGAAATAAATGTAGTTTTTATCTATGAATTGAGGAAAGATGTTTACATATCAAAACAACAAAAACAGAAGCGACAGTTTTTCTGAATTTTGAGGATGTTTTTTTTTAGACTTCTTTTTACAAATTCTAATTTCTTAGCTTATTTCGACCCCAAATTATGTCGATGAAATCCAGAAGAGCGGGGTATCATAATACTATTATTAACCTATTAGCATTTTATAGCTTCAATATAGATAATAATATTTAAATCTATTTATCATTGTGAAACTGCAATATTAAAAGTGTAAGAACACTAACACAACTATATTTTGAGTATTTATCATTGTACTGATACAAATGCCCATGAGATTGTTAACATGGCAATATTTAAATTATTTCTGTTTGTGCAGTTATAAATTATAAAATATTAATATTTTATTTATTTGTTGAATTTTCACCGTCCATAATTTTAAAGTGATAGACTAGAAAGAAAGCAGCTAGTCAACATCACCCTCGACCAACTCTTGGGCTACTCTTTATTAACGACTGATCGTCACATTATAACACCCTCACGACTAAAAGGGCGAGTATTTTCGAATATTAATAGTCTAGAAAATCATATAACAGCAACATTTAGGACAATTTCTATTTGTACAATTACAATACGGAGGTTGCATGTGTTATATTAAAATGACTCCTGAATCTTACCATCTCGTTACGTCAAATTCGCTACGTTCGGTCATGCTCTATCTGAAGACCTTGCATGTTGACGACAGCCCTGCAGCGTAGTTTCTATTGCAAAAGGATAGGTCACGGTAAATAACATAATCAAGAAGGATCTCGGTCTGGAAAAAATCACACAAGCCACATGTAGACAAGATGCTTCCACGACATAGCCGTTAAGTCGTCGCATACATCAAGCAGTTGAAGAATGACACGTGTAATCATACTATTTTATATGAAAACATTCCGCTCAAGTCGTCAATGGATTTCTGTGATCAGACTGTTGAAATAGGGAAACAGCCGTCCTCACACACCAGATAGATTATGGAAAGCATCAGGAAAGAATATTGTGCTTTGGGCATGACAATGTTACGAAGGGGAGCAATATGACAGGTTTTGTCACCGACTTTTGTGTTCATCGATACTCATCTTTTATTGCAAGATGTTGCACTTTACATATCAGGGCGGTGGTACGACTTATTTTAAGTCTCTCTTGTGATGCTCCTGAACCCAAGTTGATTCATATTTCTTTGTTTCCAACACTATTAGTTACAAGAAATATCCTTATCTTAGAAAACTATCAATTTTAGGTGCTATCGCACTACCCTGCTACGTAAAAAGTAGTGCTGATACATTCTATTCCACCGCAACACCGGCTGTGTTTGTAACGTGACTTGCTTATTTACATATTCAAGTAATATATATATATATATATACGAGTAAACTTTTTTTTTTCCAATGGCTAAAACAACAATGTCTAGAATTATTTATCGTTACTATTGCACATCATGGTGATAAACTCGTGCATGCCAAATACTTTAATTGAACCTTTTATATCACAACGACCAAGGTCGATATCTAACCTGCAGAGGCTGGCATAGTTTCCTAAAGATCAACTCAGTAAGTTCTCCAAAATTAGTGGCACCTCTTTGACCGACCATTTCTATAACAGCCATGCCATCCACTAACCAAGCTGTGGGCATATTAGATTCTGGAAGTTGATAAATTGGCTCTGTTTCTTTTTTCTAATTCAGGCAGTAGCTTACTCTTTGCAGTTTTATTCAGGGTACCATCAGAATTTGAAAGGGAATATGTAACTTCAAATAAATCTCCTGTTTGTGTAACTACTACAAGGTGGCTAAAAAACTCCATTTATAGTCACCGTCTTATCACTACTAGTTTTTGATTTGATGTTATTGCTTAGAAGTGAAAACGTCATGATGTTGAGATAGTGCAATCTCTGAAAGAACCCCAGGGAAATTTAATATAGCCTGTCTTCCTCAAACTGTTTCATTGCTTTGATTTCTGCATCAGTCACAGAAACACGGTCGGTGGCAACCTCTACTGATGCGACATTGTCATTTGCAATGCTGTTGAGTGCCATCAAGTCAGCATTCAAAACAGATGGATTTGTTGTGGAATGTATGATGGCATTTAACATCTTACTAACATCCCCTTCATTTCGTTGAATACGACGTGGACTAACCTCCTTGTGAAACGTCATATCACCAATGTTCCCGCTAAGCTGCGCGGCCCCACAAGAACCAGTCAAGTGACGCGCACATCTTCAATTATGGTGAGGAGTCTCATCACGTTGACGGCCTTAATGACCCTGCCAGTCGATAGGTCTAAGGCCCAAATAACCAATTGGTAGCATTGCACATGAAGAAATTCATTCCGCACATGGATTGAAAACATTAGAGGGAACATTGCATATCACAACACCTTACTTTCATGGAAATAGTGATAGCTGAGCTCTCATGGGTAGTGATGAACCATCTGCCCAAGGCTCCTGCATAAAACCCACTATACCCCCTCTTGTACTAGGCTATCACAGTTGACCGTTTGTTCAAATGTCATGTCTGTTCAAACTTTGCTGAATTTATTTCTAAAGCAAGCAACAACGTGATATATTTTCACAGACTTCATTTTTACATGGAGAGCATCCATATTTCTCGAAGTTACCATTGTATAATACCACCCTAAAGTCATTCCTGGGGGCTTATCCGTTCATAAAAAATGTTAAACCTTTTCTGTATTAGGGGATATGGTGCTAAGAGTTTGAAATTTAGCAGGGGTTTTCCATTGGAACCCCCAGATTATTAGGTTGTAATATTGACAGTTGAAGAACATGTTTAGTCAGCGTTTGTTAGTAATATTCGAACGGTAGTTAACGTTTTCATTGTTTTGTTTTTATTGTGGGAACAGAGTGTGGTTCCTACGGTTTGATAACTGTCAGTCTTAATATTTTTACAAAAGTAGGTGGTTGCTCTTGAGATTTTCTGACTTAGTTTTTACCACAAACTTCGTGACCCAAAACAATGTGTTTGAATATTGTGATTGCTGAAAGGTTGAAGAGAGACGAACCACAGCATATTGTGCTAGAGCGAGTAGGAACACGCTTGGCAAACCAGGATTACCATTACAGAATGTGAAAGTTGACGACCTAGTTCAGGATGAGACCCATAAGCTAGTACACGTGATCTAAATCGATTAGTACTGTATAGTGTAGCAGAGTACAGGAGAATACGAAACTCTCGCTTTTCACTAAGGTAAAGAGAAACTTGATAATCAATCGATCTGCATTCAAAATACAACCACAAACACATCAACTTCAATTCATAACAAATGCCATTTTTGAACATCAGTCTTCGACAAGACTAAACAACAGGCTGGATATTCGCTGAGTGGAGTGAATCAAACCCCATTAACCAGAGGAAAAGTAAATATGAAGTAATAATAAAAAAATATCGTTTTATATATAACTAATACATTTGATTTTTCGTTTCTAGTTAAGCACAAAGCTACACAATGGGCTATCTGCCCACCAAAGGTATAGAAAATAGAAACCCGGTTTCTAGAGTTGCAAGTCCGCAGACATAAACGTGGGGGGGGGGGGGGGGAGGCAAATAAATCTTTATATTGATTTTTTTATTCGATTTATCACCAAGGTTGTAGCTGTTGTTACTACGCATTTTTTATTATTTGTGTAAAACTACACAATGGGCTGTGTTCACTGTGTCCATCGCGGAAATTCGAACTCCTGATTTTAGCGTTGCAAGTCCGTAAACTTACAGCTGACCCACGGGGGGGACTCGCTTATAATAAGTTATTTCAATATTTTATTGCAAACCTGTACGAATCAATTAGTGCATTATAATAGTATAGATAATTTCACAGCTAACAGTAACTTGTTTAAGTTGTTAATCATAGCTGATTAATGCGACAAGTGTAATAAGACTTAAGTTTAATACTACTACTTTATCACACAATATGCGAATCTATAATATCTTAAATATATATAATAATTGTTATATGTATTATACATTTGAACTATCATATAATGTTAAAATATTAGAAGACAAAGTTCAAATATTTATAATAAGACTTTTGATTTCAAATCATTTCTGTGAATGAGGGAAGATTTCATTTCATATTTTAATACATACATTTTTGCTTTTAGGCTGGCTTCCAATCGATCTACTGCAACGGTAATGGAAAAGAACATTCCAGAGACTGCAACGGTAATGGAAAAGAACATTCCAGAGAAGGAAAAGGGTTCTTCAAAACTTCGAATTGTCTGGAGAAACGTTTACATTTTTGCGTTTCTTCACGCAACTTCCTTGTATGCCATCTACCTAGTATTCACATCAACATTGCTGAAAACGGTCGTATTTGGTATAAGAATTTGTTTGCTTGGTATTGATTTAGGGATAAGAATGATTTTGTTGCTGTTGTTGTTGTTTGGTTTTAACTCTGTGTTCTCGTTTTTAAGGTTTTAGAGCTCGTATAAAATATACGTTTGTGTATGCGGAACGTATATGACTAAACGTTTAGGATCTTGTAATACTTGAGGACGAAGACAAACTATAAATATTTATAGCTTCTAATGGTAGGCTCATCAGGAACCCTTTACGTTTTGCAAAAAAAAAAGGATTTACAATAATAAAAAAAGAATGGTGACTGTCTTATAGTGACATTTGAGACCTGCTTTTTATATTTATAATTTTAACGCATCACAATTCAGAGTTTTACTTGCTGCAAATAATCAACAAAATCGTAAAATTGTTTCATTTTTCAAACTTATTTATTTGTCTAATGTTTCTTTAGTTCTTATTTCTGTAGGTTATTCAGTTCCCTTCGTATTTCGACAAAATGTTTTCTGGTATTGCTTTGTTTTTGTGGGCTTCGGGAATCGATCGATTTTGTCTAGTTCTTACCATTCTTGCCGAAGGTGATATCACCGCATACAGACTCAACAAGTGTGGTGAAAATCTGTGGGTGGGGTAGGTTATATGGGTGGTAACAGATCCACAGATAAAAAAAAAAAACTCCTACATCTCGGATTTTTGAATCTTAAAATATTTCTTTAACAGTCTGATCGTTTTGATAATCCTTCTCTTCACTTTTATTTTACCGATAAAAACAAATTATTAGAAAATCATAATAATTCCATTACATTGTATTTAATTCAAAAGATAATGTAACGAAAAAAATCTTAATCTAGGTCGCAATTATTGACGATAGTTAACATAAGTTAACATCATATACATAAATATTATAAATCCGCAAGTAAATAATAAATTATTAACAACGTTTGGCTGTATTAGCCCTCTTGGTAGTATTGACGATAGTTAACATAAGTTAACATCATATACATAAATATTATAAATCCGCAAGTAAATAATAAATTATTAACAACGTTTGGTTGTATTAGCCCTCTTGGTAGACGCTTATACAAATTCTATAGTAATACATCTGTCAAGTTTTGATATCAGTTTTAGATATAACGATCGTTAAGACGTAGAATAGCATTTCCTTAAGTTATATTTTTCTCCTGTGACTATTTCCTGGCATAAATTGTTTTCTACATACACCTCATACCTTTTATATCTTGGAGGCTTTTGTAAATGTTTAATCCCTTATTTTTCGCAATAGGAACAACTACATAAAAAACTTTCCGATTTTCTGTTTCATTTAAACTAAAACAAATTGATTGGTGTATGTTAACGACAAAAACTACATAACAATATCAAACTGTACGCCTATCATTTAAAATCATAAAAGTAAAGACAGTTGCAATTATGTTTACTGCACACCTGACATCCAGTTTTCTTATTGCCTAGCAGCAAAACATAACTATGCATTCGAAAGTACTAGATACCAGCTTTTATTCAGTGAATAAATACACAATGATTAATCATTTTATTAGTTTGCCTCATACAGATTTGTTGCTCACTTCATGCATGTATAACACTTGTTTGATGTAATGTATAGGATAGTGTAATCCTATTCTAGTAGTTTGCGATACAACAGTTAAAACAAAACGGTTTAGTTTGGTTTGGATTTCACGCTAGCCATCTGGAATTTATTAGTGATAGCCAACTCTTGGGCTACTATTTTACCAACGAATGGTGGGGCTGACCGTCATATTATAATGACCCCACGGCTGAAAGGACAAGCGTGGTTGGCGACAGGGATTCGAACCCGCGACCTGTAGATTGCGAGTCGACCGCCCTAACCACTAGGTCATGTCAGGCCCTAAATAACAGTAAACACTTGTCCCACAGGAGCGTTGTTGATAAAGATCGTTTGTTGACCGACTGTTCAAAGACATTTGCCATCAGAGTATTTCAATAGTATTAATAAAAAAAAAGGTTTCCCCTGGTACAAACTGACCGTCAACTGCTGGTGACATAACAAGGAAAAAGAGAGTTGGACAGTCTTGTAAAATGTGACAATCGTTAGACTATGTCCGATTTTTTTTTCCCACCTACGGTGATGAGGATTCATGGGCCCCAACCTTATTATGGAAGACATCACAGAAACTGTCATATGGCAAAGGACAACTAATCCCCAAACCACTTACATCTGACGCAGTATAAAAACACAGTTTCAGTGGTAGTACTTAGAGAGCAAACTGTGGACAACGAATGATGTAGTTTGGTAAGTCGCCTTTTACTCCACTTGTACTAATGATAGAGGACAACTTTAATGAGACATTTGCCTTTAGAAGTGTTGTCCTTACGTGCAAGATGCTGGAGGTGGTTTAATGGTATAATATACCTTCTCATGGTATGTTATAAGTTACTTGATTCTCTAAGTACGGTGAATAACGCACATCATGTCAAACTTACAGCCTGATAAACAACGCTTCTTCTTAGGTAATGAAGAAGAAGCGCTCCTTTCGTCCAAAATTGTTTCAAAGAACGCGCCAGTGATTTCACTCAGCTCTTTTGAACAGCACAATAATTCAGTATTAATCTCATTTAGCTCTTCGGTAAACAAGATCGTCCATTTCCACAAGGCAATGTTATGCTTAATTCTGTGAATTCGTTTCAAACCAGATTCCTCAACAAATAAGTTAGGATTAAAGAATACTTATCTGGCACCTTTTGGAGTATACGCAACGTCAATTACCAGGTATTATCACAGTAAAACGTTGCCTAGTCTGACATTAGACGCATCTGTCTATTTATGTTTATGTATATTCACATACAAATTTAGAGCGTTAGATACATAAGCTCTCGAAACGACTTGACTGAAATCATTTTCCTTTTTTTTTTTAACAAGTGGTTCTTATGTATAGAAGAACTACTCAAACCTCAGTTTTAAAAACGCTCATAAATGGTACATGGAATCATGTGAAACTTTTATGTGGAAAACTTTTATATTTGGAAAAAAATATTTCCCAACAATACGCATCCTTTGATTTGATAAAACCAAAGTAATTTTCACACACTCTTGCATTTCCTGCTTCGACGTTATTACAAATTGTAACAATGCACTATTGTTCTAAGAAGCTGAATTACTGTTAAAATATTATTATTATGATCATCGACGTTAAACTATTAAACATTATTTTATTTTCCCTAATATCCCCATTACACTGATTATAACCCAAAGACTGGTTACCCTGCTCATAGTGATTCCCAGAGATTGAATAGCCAGACGTAAATGACAACTGTCGCACTCCAGACTTTCAGCTGTAGGCACATTATAAAAATGACACTTAGCCCCGTTATATAGTTCAGTGAACCTGGCAAAACGGCGGATGCTGCTGGCTGACTACCCTCCTACTGGTCAGTAGTTCAAAATTAGAGACGGCTATACCTAAACCCTAGAGTTTTCTCATCCGGTTTTATGAATACTAAACTTACCGTTGAGGTTGAAAAACTGCAATTCCAGAAATTAAGAAAAAATTCTTAATTAACGTGGTTTGATCCAAGAAAAAGTATAACATGCTTTTGTTGAAATTCGAAAAATGCGCTAGGAGAATAAAGTAGTATTTTATACAATGGGTAAGGTTTAAATCTCCCAATCTTAGTAACATAAAGAATTCCAATATTAGAACACACTTTATTGTAAATAAACATTACCATTCTAATATTAGAGGGCGCTTGTTGTCAATAAACGTTTCCATTCTAATACTAGAGGAAGCTTTATTGTAAATAAACATTTTCATTACGAAAACGAAAAGTTATTTGTACTTAAACCTCAATGTTGAATTTCCAATAAGAAAGAAAATTTCAGAAACTGAGTACTTGATATTCTGGCCTACAAAAATCACTGTTAATACAACGAATGACAGATGTGTGTGTATAAATATAAGAGATAGCATACTTGAATGCTGTAGCAGAACTTAATGTTATATTTATTCATTTGCTAATATAGCGTAATGTCATATTAATTAACAAAGCAATAATAGTAAAGCCACATATGTGTAATTACCTGTCACGAACACACAAATACATGTGTACTGCAACTTCCTTTAAGTGCTATAGCAGAACCCAATATTACATTTATTGTTTGCTAATATAACGCAAAGCAATAATAGTAAAGTCACACGTGTGTAATTACCTGTCACGAACACACAAATACATATATACTGCAACTTCCTTTAAGTGCTATAGCAGAACCCAATATTACATTTATTGTTTGCTAATATAACGCAAAGCAATAATAGTAAAGTCACACGTGTGTAATTACCTGTCACGAACACACAAATACATATATACTGCAACTTCCTTTAAGTGCTATAGCAGAATCCCAATATTACATTTATTGTTTGCTGATATAACGCAAAGCAATAATAGTAAAGTCACACGTGTGAAATTACCTGTCCAACGAACAAACATATATCTGTAACAACTTGTTTTGGGATGTACATTTTTTTAGATTACACAGACAGAGAAGATGTTACGTAAAAGTGGTTATGCACTCGTACTCCTATCTTTTAACAATGGCCCTGACATAAAGACCCTAGGCAACATCTGTAATTACCAATCAAATTCAACTGTCTTGATAATGTGTTCATGTACGAGTGGGAGATCTTTACGTTATGACAAGACTACAAGCATTTTTCCTGTCAGTCAAGGTTTAATTTAATAAAATGTGATTCGTAAAAGACATTTCAAGTTGACCAGCATTATACAACGTAGATAAAAAATAAAATGCACAAATAAACTGAAGACATCCAACCAACAGGGAGGAAACAAATAAACACTGAAATTATATAGTAAGATCACGGCCTGTGAAACACACATATTCAAATAATACTTTATTTCTCTACTTAAAACAAATGACATAAATTACTGAATGTTTTTCGCTAGGGTTCTTTATAACTTACTGACACTGATGGTGTTTCATCTGTTTGTGCAATCAATTACTCTCCTGAA